ATCTTTCTCTGACGACTTCGTTCAAGCCATGATCAAGATGGGCGATATTTCTCCCCTCACTGGCTCTCAGGGCGAGGTCAGGAAAAACTGCAGGAGGGTCAACTAATTAATTACTTTCCTCTTTATGCCTTGATCCATTTGCCATCTAATAATCGAGTTGTTTTTGCGCTATCCTTCATTTCTTTGTTCATTTTATTTGACTTAAGTGTGCTTATTTTAAGATGTAAGCGTCCTTCATTTTGATTTTACAATACGTCATATGTTCTCTCTTAATTTTCCTGATATTGCGTTCGTGTGTTTTTCCCTTCTTAATTAACTGTAATTTGAAAGAGACAGTTACTTTACCCTCTATTTGTTTTTATTTTGTTTCTTTCATAGCAAGGAACTGATGTGATGACATCAATTTCTACTGTATATATGATAAGTGACAAAAAGAACAAAATTAATGGATTGCTTTAGAGATCGTTAGCTCCTTACTTGGGAACTAAAAGAACCAAATTAAAATTATGATGATATATTTTCAACCAGAAAAAAAAAAATTCTGATGATATATAAAACTAAAGAGGCGAAACGTCTATTCAAATCTTCAATTTATTTAGATCGATTTGATGCATAAAATATATTGTTGTCGTCTTCTTTAAACCAAAAAAACTGAACGACAAAATTGTTGGCTAGATCTAATGGCTGAAGAGGATGATCTTGGACCTTCAAATGCTTGGTTCAGTGAAAGCTGTAAAAGGCCGAATAAATTGGGCTGAGGAAAAGCCCAATATGTTGGGCTTAATTCAAACCCAAATTATTGGCTTTAGTCATGCCTAATCCTTACACTGAACAAACCCTGTAAAAAAAAAAGGCAGTGTGCATGCCCACACACAAGCGTCACATTTCATATATATCCATCCAATAACAAAAAAATTAGAACGCTTGTGTGATCTGAGATATTGGTTTCCCCAGGGTCATGACCAACAAATATGCTATTCATTTTTGAAGTTACAAGAGAATCTTTTCGCGGTTTGATTTTTTTTATTGAAACATATCGGTCAGATCACAAAGTGATGACTTTTTTTTTTTTTTTAAAGGGGAAAAAAATTGCATTTGGAATCTTACATAAATATGCATCATAATCAGTGAAGCTGTGTTTTTGTTTAAGTGAACACTGGAAACTGCCGGTGAGATATTTAGTATGATTAACGGTGACAACTCCAGATGTATATTTTATAATTATCTATTAGTCAACCCTCATGAAAGTAAATAAAACCATACATGGCGCTGCAGGAAAACCTCAGATTTCTTCCAGGTCATGTGGCCACGAAATTTTTAAGTCCATCGTCATTAAATAAAAGGATCTTTAGCCTGTTTGATTAACTGATTTTTTTTTCCTTAATTTATTTTTTAAACTGTTTTTAAATACTTTTTTTTTTTATTATATGATACTCATAAAACATCTCTCGGTTATGTTCCTTCTCTTTGACTTTTGTTTCGACTCTGGGGCACTGTATTCATATAGGTTGGAGTTGGGCATATGTATGTGACTTTAATTGCTTTTACTCACCTAACCTAAAAAGGTTTCAATAAAGAACTAGCACCCGCTCTACTTAATTAAAACTAATCAATCAATTTAACAGCAATTTTCGTTAATCATTACTCAGAAATCATGGTAATGATTGAGATGATTGCCTCAATAAATATATATATATATATATATATTCACGCTGCTCGACTGATATAACAGTTATATAAAATTTAATTTGGAGCCAATTGGTTCCCACGATTTTCAAGAGAAATTTCATTTTCAAGATGAAATAAGGACAAATTGCATCTAAGTTTTGTAGAACAGACTTATTTATAAATAAATCTTGTGAGTTTTAAAAATTATAGCAAAATTTTTTAAAATTTGAGTGTAATTTAAAATTAATTGCAATACTTACATTAATTAAATAATTAATTTATAATTAATTTATCAGTAATTTATAAATATAATTTTAAATTTTTGCAATTGTAATTTTACATATTTAATAGGTAATTATTTTATTAGTAATTTACAACTACAAATTCTTGGATATATAAAGTTACAGTTATAATTGTAAATTATTGATAAAAATATTGTAAATTATTTGACTGATATAATACATATATGATTAATATAGACATTTATTATCTTTTCATCTCAATTTTAAATTACACTTAGGTCTCAATTGATTTAGTTGTGATTTTAAAATTTTATGGGACTTATTTATAAATAAGTATTCTTCAAAGAACTTATATGTAATTTTTTCATGAAATAAGTTGTATAAGAAGGTTCCCAGTTGGGATCGACCGTGGACGTATGCATATAATCTAACGTGATACTCTGTCTTCATATTGATCACTTTCAAATATGACATCAATACACACACGTATATATATTCTCTCATCATCGAAAGACAGATGAAATAAATAAACTAATTAAATTAAAAGAAAAGTTACTTGTTTGCATCATCTTTACTGGACTCCCTTGTTGTTGAGGGCTTGCTTAACTTCAATCTACTTTATATCTTAAACTTATAATTTTTTTTTAAACTTATTCTTATTGATTGCAGACATTAATTGAAGGAGGTCTCCATCAATATATATAGTTTTCAGTATAAATGATTAAATAATGTATTTTAGAAAAACTGGCAAATATTATGTACGAATAACTAATTAACTGAACTAATTGTCTTAAGGGAAAATTACATATAGAACCCCTCAAGTTGACTTATTTATAAATATAAGTCTCTTAAGACTTGAATGTAATTTAAAATTTGGATAAAAAATATAATAATTTATAACTATTTTATCAATAATTTACAACTATAACTTTAACTTTTTATAATTATAATTTTATATATTCAATAATTAAATTAAATTGATTAATTTAACCACTGAATATGTAAAGTTACAATTATAAAAAGTTAAAGTTAAAGTTATAAATAATTAATGTTAAAATTTATTAGTAACACATGATTGTTTAACCATTGATTTTGTAAAGTTATAGTTATAAAAAGCTAAAACTATATTTGTAAATTACTAATAAAATAATTATAAATTAATTATTTGATTGATGTAATGTATGTTTAATAGAAGTATTATTGTCCATGCAATTTAATTTTAAATTATACTCAAGTTTCAAGGGACGCTTGGCTGTGGTTTTTAAATTTCATAGAATATATTTGTAAATAAATCTGCTCCACAAAATTTGTACATAATTTTCTCTTGTTTTAATCTCTGTAAAACTTTTCTAGTTTCCACACGTTTTTTTTAATAAATTAAGAATGACGTGACCATGTCACAGTCTTAGCTTTGCAATTAAGGCATAACGATATGACAAAACCCATTCAACCTTTTTCTTGTCCTCTTGTAATTCCCAGTAATAGAGAGTACATAATATATGTTGCGCATATCGATTGTCTACCCTTGTGATATTATTGGAAGCATATATTAAATTTAATCTTATATATTTTTTCCTTTAACCACCCAATATTTATCGACCACAAACTAAATTTGAGCAGCACCACGTCCTAAAGAACATCATATTATATTTGTTCTACTCAACTCAATTAATGACAACATTAATATATGTCAATCTTGTACTTTTAAATTGTCATGCAGAGAATATGAAAGCACAAATAGAATAAACAGGTCATGGATGGATTAAGTATATTGAATTGATGATTCATGATCGATAAACATAGTTAATGCCTCCAAATCTAATTGCATGATCCGTTGATGAAATCAATGTAGTAATTATTATTGATAATATGCTGGCAATAGGAATGAGAGTTGAGTGAGATCCAAGAGTATGCATGCTCTGTGATCAATAGCTTAAACCTTGGGAGTCCTCCATCACATGCATTCGACTGGTTCGAGACTCAAAAAATAAATGATCCAGCTAAACCCAACTCAATCTACCCAATTAGCTTAGCTTGGCTTAGAAATTTAAATATCAATTCAACTATATATATTATTTATATCTTTCCTAGCTTCCGAACCGAATATATACTGATATTTACAGTCATACATATATATTATATTATATTGTTCAAGGGCGATGACTTTCAGATTCATTTCCCTTAGTTTTCCCAGGCAGGCAAATGGAGAGAAGGCAAAAAACCTATATAATAGGGTTAATTTATAAGGAAGAAAGTTACATTTGGTTCAAATACAAGGAATGAAGTAGGGTTATGTCAACACCAGAAAGATGCCACGAGTTTAAGCAATCATGACACGGGACCAATACATGTCACATCTCGAGAGAGAGCCCTTTAATAAGGAAAATTATTCTGAATCATCAGCTAGGTATTTGTGTTATTATTTGAATTGTTCACATCATGCTGAAAAAGAAAGGTCTCTGTGTGTGTGTGTGTGTGTGTGTCCTGGATTAATAAAATAGAAAAGTGTAATATTCTTTTCTATGTAGTTCTTGCTTATACGATTAGGTCTTCCTCTTCGGAAGCTGGCTGAAATCCTCACGCCAAGGAAGCCCTTATATGTAGCTGACATCAACATGCTTGTAAATTGATATTTACTGTAACATGGAACCTTGCTGTTTGTCTCAATTATAATCATCAAACATAAATACATTCACATTATATGATATACACCAAGTAAAATTATTTCTTCTTTTTCGTTATATTCTGAGAGAATATTTTAGGAAATTAGTCGATGTACATATATATATATTCCAAGTTAACAGGAGACAGGTTTTCAATGAAATCTATCCCTAATATATGTTCTAAATCTAAAGATTTCGTTTAGTCAATTAATTAACAAAGCGAAGTTCTCATTAATTTTCAAAAATGTCTCCTAGTGCTACTGCTCTATATATACTGACATTTCATGTCTGATTCGCAGGTGTGAATCCCACTTTTATCGGTGCTAATTAAGAATATACAAGGGAACTTTGAAAGATAGTTGACATGCGTAAGCAAGAAAGTAAATCAGTAGAAAACCATTAACTGATATATGAAGATTTTGCTAGAGACGCATTAATATCTGCGTGTCATTTCAATGATCGCTATCATATAATAAGCACCAAAAGCTAAAAATAATTATCAATATCGCCAACTCTTTACTGTTAAGAACAATAAAATAAGAAGGATGGAAACAGTGAAGTGACAGCTAGTATAGCAAGCTATCTAATTAATCTGGAACAGAAAAAAAAAAAAAAAGCTGAGCTGTTTGTGCTTCCCATATTAACATATATATGGTGAAGATCACAAGTTCACACAACCTTACCTTTTGTCTCCCGCAACTTCAGACAGCAATTTAGATACTTCAATGGCACGGATTAGCATGCTTGACGGTCCATATTAAACCAGAGAGTCAGAGATGGCACGTGCCAATTTATTTCCAAACCCAACAATACAAGCAAACTCTCTCGCCCGTACATGGTTTCCAATATTCAAATTGCAATAGCTTCTGTATCATTAATTGTGCAAGGTTTTTCCTTTTTCTCGCTTCATCATGAAGTAATGAAGAGACTATTTGTCTGCCTGAATCTTGAATGGGACTGTAGGGAAAATAATGCAGAAGGGGATGGACAGAAATCACAAACAATGAGGCAAGTAATTAAAAGGAGAGAAGAAAATTTACACTAAATTAACCATGTATAGAGGGGAAAACTTGGGCATAATCATGGATTAATTAAGACAGTATAAATAAAAATAAGAAGAAGAAAAGTTTACAGCCCATAACAATTAATCTCCAATAATTATATTCTCATCATTTTCTCCCTTACTTTATTCCCCCAGCTGGTGCCTAGTAGAGATGGAAAAATAAATGGAATATTATTATTTGATGTCTGGAAATTTAACCAAAATAGGAAATATTATCACTTGAAATTGTGGTATAATTGGTGGGAGGCCTCTGCTGGACTTGGGTATACATGGAAGAAGAGGAATCAGAAGCAGAAGGAAGAGAAGGCGGCGGCGGCAGAGGTGGTGGAGGTGGTGGAGCGGCGATTGACACGGCCCGAGAGGAATTAGGGAGGACAGGAATATGATGAGGGGAGGGTATGATGTTAGTAGCTTCCCTAAGTTTGTATTTAAGTATTTCAGCCCTTACTGCATTAAGTTCAGCTTGTAAAGATTGAACTTGTTGCTGCAAAGCAGAAATTGCGCCCATGCATCCGTAAACTGGGTCTCTAAGCCTCACATTTGCCTCATACACTAGACTATTTGCTGCGTCCGCTCTTTGACTCTCTGGTACCTCCTATAAAATAAAACATATACAAGCCATATATATTCATTAATTTCTTTTTGCTCATAGAGAAAGTTTTATTCTTAATAAAGCAGTTGGTAAGTATTAATCTGGATTGTATATATGGTATACCATGAGCATCTTGGAGACGTTGCTAGCACCGAAGACTTTGTGAACAGAAGCAAATTTCTGGGGCTCATGAGGGGAAAGTAAGGAGAAAAGGGACATTCCTGAGCACACCTTCGCCTCAAGAGCTTACATGCTGCACAAGGGGTTATGGTGTTTAGGGTTCCAGGAGGGCCCAACATGTGTCTTCTTCCCATTTGCGATGAAACATCTCCCTCCCTCTTGATCTTCTTCCCTATCTCTTCAAAATTTTCCCTGCATAAAGAGCAATCACAAGATTAATCAGCAAAATTAAAAAAAAAAAAAAACCCTATATCAGACTGTTTTATTTGTGTGCAGTACATAATCTTAATTATTGTAAGGGGAGAAAGCTACTGGAACATTAGTTTGATCGCCATAGCTATATCCATCATAAAAAGAACTAAAACTTAGGTCTAAATATATACAATAGAGTATCCCATATGTTTGAGAAATTTTGACTTAAGATGGAGGGATGAAAGGTTTCTAGTAATTAAAACAGTAGGAAGGTATCTGTTAAGAAGGTATAATTAAGAGATGGAGGGAGATCTATCATGCTTGTGTGACTGATTACCTTTCTCTGGACATTCAGGCATGCTCTCTCGGTTCGGACTATGAAGTAGGAGTGAGCTTGGGAGAGAATAATTAGAAAGAGAGATAGAATCCAAAAGTGTAGAGGAGAGGAAAGGAAAATAGGAGTAGAAAATGAGTGTGCTTAAAAGGCAAGGTATACATAGCGGTCCAGCTATTTTTAATTTCAAAGAAATAGACAAAAAGGAATATATATTACATCAGTTGCATAAAAAGACATAGATAATATAAATAGTTTGCAAGATAGCTTAAAGAGAGTGAGAAGCAAAAGATGAGTGTAATTGAATTTCAGGAATTATAGACTTTTAACTATCAGAATATTAAGTTGTGTACTCTCTGAAAAAGTTCAATCATGAAGAGGAAGAGGAAGAAGAAGAGAGAGGGAGAGAGGGATCGAAGCGTTTTTTTTTTTTTAAATATATATAATTGTTATGGTGTATATATGCCAGCTCTATTACTGGTTGCTCACGTGTGAGTTCTTAAATGTGTTTGACTTTCTTAATAAACTTTCTGATTCGATTGCCGCCATGCATGTGGTACTTGCTTCTTACTGAGGCCAAACCTCACCAACTTGCTAGTCTTTTTATATACTATATATTATCAAGAAGCTGAGCATGTTTCTGTGTTCATATATTGCCTTCCACTCAGACTTCATGTGTCATATGTTCAAGTGATTCGCCATTAAAATATCAGTAATTAACCAACTTGGATCAAGAGTGTATCAACGTTGACCTGGGATTTTATCTTTATTCAAAGGTAATTTAGTGACTCCATTTTAGTTTTAGATCAGTAGTTTTTAGTATCCTCATTCTTACTGAGGAAATATCTGCTGCCATATATATTTAGAATTCTACTTGGGACATAGAGATTAGTTGAGTATTTTTTTTTTTTTTTTTGGGAACTAAAGTCTTCAAAGCAAAGTAATTTCTTAGTTGGATTTCGATTCATACATCATAAACTTCCTGATGGATATAGTTTTGGAATACAATCTACTATTATTTGGGTCTCAGAGAGAAATTAAAACAAGAATTTCCCCTCCCTTGTTTTATTACATATACTTATTCTTAATTTGCAGAAGTTTCTAGTTTTCCTCCTCCTTTGATTGATATATCTTAAGTTCAATGATAATAGATACACTAGCAGCAGTTCATGATTACTAAATTACTTATTTAAACTCTCTGATTGAGAACAATTCTTCTTTTAAATGATCACTGCATTAACATACAAGCATATGACATTAATTAAGGGTTGAGGGAAAAGATTGGACACCTTTCACGATAAGTTGATAATCTTGTTAGTGATAGAAAATGACTTTTGCAGTGTGATGGATAATTGATGGATAGAGATATGCTAATTCGAGACATCTCACCCAGCAAGTTTTTCATATTAGAGAAATCATTAGACACATGTAAGAATCTATAGCACAGTGATTCTTATTTCAAAAGCTCTAATTAATTTTTTTTTATTGCAGTAATAGAATTCCCAATGTTGTATAATATGACTGAGACGCTTAACTGCTGAACTATTTGTCCACTACACTCACAATCACGAGTAGTTTTCCCTTGAAGCACACCTTAACATAATACAAAGGAACCAAAAGCACCATCCAGCTCCTTTTATTTGATATGTGTCATTCAGAATCAATATAGTTAGTCTACCTAGCAGTAATTTATATCACAGAAAAAAGAGAAACCAGAAGAGTTGGCTCGCAGACTCAGACCATATATAATTGTTACGGATTACGAAAACAAGAGTTTCTCTTAATTTCTGGGGAAGGATATTAATTGAGAAGTACTGATCTATCAGAGTGGGTGGTGAAAGAGAGGAGTGTATTTGGAAATTGAAATGGAAAGGGTTGGTATTATATAAGTAAATTACATAAAAGCAATGCTTAGGCTCTAAGCAAGGTGGCACCATCCATTCTTGTTTGACCCCGTATTTTGAGCTTACAAGTCGCCTTATATTTCTCCTCTCAGCTTCCCAAACCTAACTTCAATACACCCCCCCCCCCCCATACAAGCTTGAAGGGAGGGGGGACCAGTAGAAATCACAGCTCCGCAAGTTTTTAAATTTTTCTTAATATTATATAGATAGTTCGTCAGGCCCCCAGAATTTATGAAAGTTTTGTAATACATATGCTTTTTAATCTTGACCCCTCATAAATAAATCACTGTGTATATATACTATTATATGATTAGTTTTCTGCATTACTGCACGTAAACCCAGAACCTATACCACCACCACTTCTACTGGCTGGCCTGTTAAGAAATGCCAAGTGAGACCTCATAGAATCAAGAGATTCTTCAACGGTGTTTGAAAATAAACCCTAAAATTAAAACTCTTGCTTCTTTCCTTGGGTAACATTTTCGATTTTAAAACATGAAACAAACATTCGGTTGAAAATACTTGTCTTTTATGGGATCAATTATGCGTATTAAAGTCTCGACATGGTGAGTACTAGACTCCAACCCTCAACAACATATATTGACGTATGGTCTTACTCTAGTATCACTATAAACCTTGGATCGTTTGGATTTCAATGGCCGGGTAGCTCTTTTCTTTTTCTCTCCCTCTCTCTATGTCATTAATGAATTGGAGGAGATGGGTTCATCTACCATATCTAATACAACGTACATTTGACCCATAAGGACTTAGATTTATAATGTCATTCAATTCTATTCATATGAAATTCTTTCTATTTATTTCTATTCAGATGTATAAATGCGAATGGATTTAAATTAACATGACAAATCTTGCATTGAATAAAGTTAAATCTAATAAGTAACATATATATATATATATAAATAATAAAGTGAAAAGACTTATAAACTTGAAATCTCGAGATGTGGTGCTATCTTTTACCAATTTTAACCTGTTTGTTCTTTCTCTCATTTCTCCATATTTTAAATCAACTTATAAATAATGCAATTTGTTTTTTTTTCCATCATGTTAACAAGTTTATTATGGAACTCCTTTGAACGAGTTTTGTATAATATGTTCATGTAACTTTTTGCTCCAATTTCAAAGCATATATAAGCATGTCAACCTAAGCAGAAGACCTCTTTTTAGCCTACGTTAACAATTAGTTGTAAGGTTTTCAATCAAATGATGAGTTGTGTGTGTGTGTGTGTTGCCTAAAATTGTAAGTCTGGGATCTATCACTTCAAAATGTGAGCTAATAAATCACATAATCACAAGGAACATCTTGACCTAAAAATTATTCGTATAAATGCACCAGTTGATTTGAACACGTACGAGAAAATACTCTTCATACGGACCAGACGCGCCATCGAATTGAGAGTCTCTTGGACCTGTGTTGTCATGTGGATGCCCAACAAACAACTGAAATACATTGTCCATAATTATTAAGAATTAGCCATATTGTTGATTGGTAGGAGAAAGGGCTCTTTCAAAGCAAAACATAAGAAAAGAGAGACACCCAGAATACAAATATCATTCAAGCCCACAAAGTATACTATTTTTAAGCATCATTTACTGTATGAATATTTTGAATTTTTATTATTATTTGCTAATACTAAAGAGAAATATAATTACATACTGTGAGAGATCAAACTTTTTTCTTTTTGTTAACTTGATGAATACTTGTGCATTCTTTTCTACTCTTACTAATATGAGACCAACCATTAAGAGGGTGAGAATGAAAATATATGAAATAGCCTGTCATGAATGGGCCCAAGAGTAATAATGGAGGCAGTGGGCTTGGAGAATTATGAATGGGCCAGGAAAAGGATTGATGGACTAGGGTATTATATTATTGAGTGAAATATATTGATATATATGCAGAAGGAGCATCGAGGAAGGCACAGAGGGAACATTTGATGATTTACGCCTAGTATTAGAGTCGAAAATTTGGGCCGAGCCCGACGGGCTAGCCTGAACCTGTCCGAAAAATTTAGGGCCAAGCCCGAAAAAAATTATTTTTTATTGTTCGGGCCTATTCGGGCGGCCCGAATAGGCCCGAGGAAATTCGGGCCAAGCCCGATCGGGTTCGGGCTTGGCCCGAATACCTGAATAAAAAAATAATTTTTTTAAAAAATATATAAAATATGATAAATATTAATTAATTTTTCAAATTTTATATCATTTTATACCAAAATACTATATATATAAGTGTTTTAATGTAGTTATTTTTTTAAAAAAATTAAAATAGTTATATTCATATTTTTATTATTTTTAATCAATAAAATATCTCAAAATAATATTTAAAAATATTTTGATATTGATTTTAATATTTTAAGACCCAATTTTGGTTAAAAAAAATTTTGAGTCCTATAAATATTTGCATGTAAAAAAATAATTTTATATTTTTTATAAATTAAGAGAATTAATTTTAAAGTAAAAATAAAATTGAAAATAATTTTAAAAATAAAATTTAGGCATGTACGAATTTCTGACTCTACTACTAGATAAACATAATAAATAGAATAATATTCTTGAATAATTACTTGGTTATTGTCCATGCTAGATTTGGTTAAAATTAAGAGTAAACTAGAGTAAGAATCCCTTTTATATAAGAGTTAAACAATATAAAAAGTTAAAGAAAAATGATTTCAAAAAAATAATATTTTACTCATAATTAAATAATTTTTTATATAATATAACGATGGCAATTTTTTTATATTCATAAAAATGAAAAGTATAATTTACCTAAAAGTTATTTAAAACTTTGAACTAATCGAAATAATAATTTAAGTTAGTAGTTTAACTGTGATTGAATTGGGATCAGCTTAATCATAATTAAAATAATATAATTTAATTTAAATATATAAAATATTTATATATGACTATGATAAGAGCAATATTTAAACAATTAAGATATTAATTTACAAGTAAAGAAAACATTCATGAATAAATTATACATAATACAATAAAATAATAACAGAGCTACTTAAATACAAAGTTGATAAATTATTTTTATTTATTCTTTTAAAATTAAGATAATATTTTACGATTAATAGAATTATTTAAAAATTAAAATTGGTTTAAAAAATACAGAAAAAATATTTTTAAAAAGTTTCGGGTATTCGGGCCAGCCCGAATAAGCCCGAAGGTGTTAGGGCCGGGCTTGACTATATGGGTTTTTTAGAAGAGGTAGGATGCTTTAAGCCCGATCCGAATAAGCCCGGCCCGAATAAGCCCGGCCCACCCGAATTACCGGCTCTACCTGGTATCGACTTCTCTTCTCTCTATCCCCTTCTTCTATTTTCTTCTGCAAT